TGACCACGCGACTGATTTTATATATCTTGTACATACCAAGTTCCAGTACTCTTCCATGAACACATCCAGAGATATGCAGTATGAAAAATTCAATGTGTATGGGAAGTGCCACGCCTCCTTTTCCGATAACCACAATTTATCTCCATGAGTATGCGATTGCTTTCATATACCTCCATACCATGTTCGAGACCTCTTCCATGAAAATTTTCTGGTTTGTATGGGAGGTGCCACGGCCCTTTTTTCAATAACCGCAATTTTTCTCCATGAATATGCAATTGTTTTCACATATCTCCAAACCATATTTGAGTAGTCTACCATGAACACTTCCAGAGATATGCAATATGAAAAGTTCGGTTTGTATGGGAGGTGCCACGCCCCCTGCACCTAGCGGTATGAAATATACTTTACATCCGATTCTCATACCTACCATATATAACACAAAAAATTTCATAAAGATCGGTCGAGCCGTTTAGGAGTTCGATTTTTATATATTAGATAAGCACGATGCGAGAAGCATAGAAAAAAATTGGATGAAAAAAAATTTTTTGTCGGGTTCACAACTAACATATCTTTTAAGTTGGAACCAACAATACACACCCACATAGTTTCATTGAACTCGGTTAAGCGGTTTCGGAGATAAGCGTAAAGGAACACAGTTACACGGGAAGTTGGTGTGGGTATCGCCGATCTAGACGGGGTTAGATCGCCGAAACAACAGCCCATGGTCGGGTAAAACCCGAGTCATTCCGGTACGTAGAACCGGCTGTCGTGGGAAGAGCACTTGAAGGCCTGTAACTTCACCTCTGGTGTGAGTAAGCTCTGGTCAACCGTGAGGTCCTTGTCCAACCCGACGAAGCGTGATGACAGAGTGGAAATCTCATTTGAAGGTCACGCTTCATCGGACCCGAATAAATGCGCGAACTATTTTAGTCGGCAATTCACACTGCATCCTTCGGTAGACAAGGCCAAACGTCGAGTGACCAGGAGGCTGCACAAACTGCCCAAAAACAGTGCACCACTTGTTTTCACCAGCGGTGAAGTGAAGGGGGCCATCGGGAAGGCGAAAGCCTCCAAAGCCATTGGACCCGACGGAATCTGTATGCTGATGTTGAAACATTTGGGGCCTGTGGGAGTAGCATACCTCACGGAAGTCCTCAATTTGTCTATGACCACTCTCATCATTCCTGATGTAAGGAAATCAGGGAGAGTGGTCCCACTGCTGAAACCGGGGAAGCCCGCCAACAGAGGAGACTCTTATCGTCCGATAACGCTCCTTTCCCCGGTCGCGAAGACACTTGAGGCCCTGCTGCTCCCATAGTTCACCTGCCACCTAACCCCAGCGAAACATCAGCATGGCTTCCGTAAAGTGCACAGCACAACAACAGCACTTAACGCCATAAACACCCAGATAACTCGTGGCCTAAATCGTAACCGCCCCTGTGCGAGAACTGTCCTAGTAGCGTTGGACTTGTCAAAGGCGTTTGACACCGTCTGCCATTCCACGCTGCTAGAAGACATTGAGGCCTCCTCTCTCCCACAGGGACTGAAGCGATGGTCGGCGAATTATCTGAGTGGTCGACAATCATCAGTAATCTTCAGAGATCAAACCTCGAAACCAAGAAGAATAAAACAAGGGGTTCCACAAGGTGGTGTTCTCTCCCCCTTACTTTTTAACTTCTACATCTCGAAACTCCCCCAGCCTCCTGAAGGAGTTTCCCTGATCTCGTACGCTGATGATTGTTCGATTTTGGCGTCTGGGAATGGAATTGATGACCTCTGCTCAAAAGTAAACGGCTATCTCTCCAGCCTTTCTCGCTTCTTCACTGCAAGGAGCCTAACCCTCTCCCCAACGAAATCAACGGCGACCCTCTTCACCACCTGGACGAAGGAGGTCAGGCTAGATTTAGGCATTCACGTCGACGGCACACCTATACCGACGGTGAACAACCCAAAAATTTTAGGGGTTACCTTTGATAGCCTGCTCTCCTTCTCCGCGCACACAACCGCAGTTGTCAACAAAGTACAGAGCCGCAACAAGGTCCTCAAGTCGCTCGCCGGCAGCACTTGGGGCAAAGACAAAGAAACGTTGCTGGCAACATACAAGGCAATTGGCCGGCCGGTTCTAAATTATGCAGCGCCTGTTTGGTCACCGGGGACTAGTTGGACGCAGTGGACGAAGCTACAGACTTGTCAGAACGCCGCACTCCGGACAGCGACTGGGTGCCTTCTGATGACGCCTGAGCACCACCTACACAGCGAGGCCCAAGTGCTCCCCGTACGGGAACATAACAAAATGCTCTGTAAGCAGTTTCTGGTGGGGTGTCACAGAAGCGAACACCCCAACAGACCACTGCTGGAGGAGGAGCCTCCGCCCAGGCACGTCAGGGGGCACCTATTCGTGTACACGGACGCAGTCCAGACCAACCAACCACTGGACCCAATGACGTACAGACAAGCGATTAACGACATTCATAGGGAGTCAGTCTCCACCTACCTCGACTCCAGGCCTAAGAATGTCGTTATCGGAGCCCAATCACCACCTGTGGAAGAGACGGAGCTTCAATAACCTAGAGAGACCCGCGTTACTCTGGCTCAGTTACGGTCTGGATATTGTAGCCGCCTAAACAGCTACCTGTCCAGACTCGACCCAAACAACCCAAATGAGTGCCCGGCATGTGGAGACTCCCCCCACGACACCAACCACCTCTTCACATGCCAGCTCAATCCGACTCAACTAACACCCCTCTCCCTTTGGTCTGACCCCATCGAAACAGCTCGTTTCCTGGGCCTACCGTTAGTTAAGCTTGACGATAATGATAAAAAGTTGATTCGAAATAGGCGGGGCTTAGTAGTGCCGCTACAACAACAACAACAGTTACACGGGATTTCTATATATTAAGATACCCCACTATAAGCACCATAGATACGTCTGCGTACCAAATTTCAATTTCATGTGACTTATGGTTTTGAAATTATAGCTGATAAAATATTCTATGCCTATGGGATGTGCCACGCCCCTCTTTACAAACCCATTTATATATAAGCACCTACCATTGATATGTCTGCAAACCAAATTTCAAATTGGTGGGACTTATAGTTACGAAGTTATAGCTGATAAAAGATACCACGCCTGTTGGATGTGCTACGCCCTCTTTTCCAAACTCATTTATATATACCCTAATAAAAGTACCTACCATTAAAATGGCTGCATACGAAATTTCAAGTTCATGCGATTTATAGTTATAGCTGATAAAACATTCCAGGTCCATGGGACGTGCCGCGCCCCCTTTTACAAGCTAACTTATATATACCCTACTATAAGCACCTACTATATATACGTCTGCCTACTAAATTTCAATTTCACGCGACATATGATTCCGAAGTTTTAGCTGATACAATTTTCCACGCCTATGGGATGTGCCACGCCTCCTTTTGCAAACTCATGTATATATGCCTTACTTAAAGCGCCTACCGTAGATATGCCTGCATACCAAATTTCAAGTTCTTGGAACTTGTGGTTCCCAAGTTATAGTTGATAAAAGGGTCCACGCCTATGGGATGTGCCACGCCCTTTTTACCAACTCATGTATATATAGCCTGCTGTAAGGACCTACCGCATATACGTCTGCATACCTAATTTCAATTTTATGTGACTGATGGTTGTGAAATTATAGCTGATGAAAATTTCCACGCCTATGAGATGTGCCACGCCCCCTTTTACAAACCTATTTATGTATACCTTACTGTAAGCATCTACCATAGTTATGTCTGCATACCAAATTTCAAGTTCATGTGGCTTATAGTTCCGGAGTTATAGCTGATAAAATATTCCTATGGGACGTGCCACGCCCACTTTTACAAACTCCTTTATATATACCCTACATGCATATCGTAGGTGCTTATCTACCATATACATATATGACTGAATAACAAATTTCAAGTTCATATGACATAGTTTCGGATTTATAGCTGATAAAATATTCCACGCCTATTGGATGTGCGGCGCCCACTTCTATAAACTGATTTATTTATACCATACTATAAGCACCTACCATATATATGACTGTATACCAAATTTCAAAGTTCATGTGACTTGTGGTTCCGAAGTTATGATTGATAACAAATTTCACGCCTATGGGATGTGCCACGCCCACTTTAACAAAGTCATTTGTATATACTCTACTGTAAGCACCTACCATATATATGACTGCATACCAAATTTCAAGTTCATGTGACTTATAGTTGCCAAGTTATGGCTGATTAAAAATTTCACGCCTATGAGAGGTGCCACGCCCCTTGTCGAACCCCAATTTTTTACACTATTATAGGCCCAGGTGTCATGGCAATACTCTGTCAAAATTTTGTTCGATTCTGTCCGTCCGTTTAGGCTGTAACCTGGCACATACATAGATACATACATACATACTACCACAAATATATAGTAGATATATCCTTCTCTTAGCGTAAAATAATTTTTGGGGATGTCTCGGCCACAGGGCCACCTATCGTTTAAGTTTCAAGTACAAATATTTCTTTTAAATTGGCTAAATTGTTTCTAAATATGAGCCAAATCAGCAAGTAAATGCCATTTTTTTTATGAATATCCCGATCCCAGCGCCACCTAGCGATAAAATTTTTAGTCGAAATATTTCCCTTGAAGGTGCTGAAATATGTTCCAAATATGAACGAAATCGGTCCAGCCGTTTAGTAGTTTAATGACATTCAATATAAGGAAAACTTTGAAATTGTGAAATCGTGACGTCTCAGCTTTCATCATTTTTCGGCAACAACGAAAAATTTAAAATTTTTTTAAGTCAAAGAACCTTCCACACAGAAGGTCCAAAAATGTGCTTTTTACAGAATTGAAATCGGTTCAACCGATAGATAATAGATAATTTAAAATAAAATAAATAAAATATCCAGAAATACCTAAATGGTATCAATTTAATGTTAATTTTGCAAAAAATTACATGTACATCACTAAAGCTAAAGAAATCCAATTTTGCACAGAGAAAATTTGAAAATTTTGTCATTTATTATATATGCATTTCATTTATTATGACATATGAATACATTCTTATTCAATATTACACAAACTCTAGTATAACAGCTATACATTAAATATTTGCAATTTTATTTTAAAACCTGAATTACTACTTTTTGTTTTTCTTCTTCTTCTTTGATGATTTATTTCGTTTCTTGTTCTTCGTGTGCTTCTCTTTTGAACTTCCCGCGGATTCAGCCGAAAGTGAACGTTTCGAGCGCTTTTTGTCTTTCTTATACTTATGTTTTTTCTTTCTCTTACCCTCATCAGATTCTGAATCGGAGCTTGTATCAGCAGATCCTGAAGAACTGCATGCACTCGAGTGATGTAGCTTTAATCTGTTTTCTGACTCACTTAAAGATTTTTTTGACTCATGCGTTTCATTTTTATTCCTCTCTCTTGATATACTTCTTTTTTTATGCAGTTGACCGGCGTTAGACGAACAAGCCTCATCCCTTTCTTCCAATCCTCTCTTCTTACCTTTATGTTGTTCTTTTGAGAGGTTAGGCGTATTTGCCCTTCTCTTGTGAGCTAAACTGGTATGCGAACTTTCGTCATCGTCTCTATCTCTGACACGTGGTCTACTTCTTGATGCTATGTCAATTTCTCGATGCACGTGTTTTGGAGATTTATTTCGGCTTTCTCTTAAATAGTCTCTGTCACGATCTCGGGCTCTTTCACGATCCTTATCGTGATATTTATCATTATCATGATATCTATCGCGATCGCGGTCCCGATCTCTATTTCTTTCTCGATCTCTATCTCTACTTGAAATCGTTGCCAACTTATGGTTAACATTTTTCTCTCGATTGTCATGCCTCGTCCTACTATCACGATTATCGCGGTCCCGATCTTTAAACTTATTTCTGTTCCGCTCTTCCGCTCGTTCATAAGCACTTCGACCTATGGGATTAATTTTCATAAGAAGCTCTTTATTGGTCCTGTCGCGATCAGGTGAGTAGTCATATTTAGATATTATTTTGCTCCCAAGTCTTTCTTTAACCGATTTAACTACTTTTGGGGAACTCGGCGAATTATCATCTTTTAATTGCACTGAACGTTCTTGACTATTGCTAGTTGGTACAGTGATTTCAAAGTTTTTGATTTTGTCTTTTACAGCGATTCTAGGTAACGTTTCACTGTATACTCTCTGATGATCATTGATTCCGTCGCTTTTCTCAAAAGGATATATTGCCTTGATAGCTCGCGCAAATATGGCATTTTCGGCTTTGCGTAATACTTCGTTAGTAACTTTCTCACACGATAACTTTTCAATTTGGTAATCAGTATTTTCATCAGGTTCCAAATTAATAATTTCACTAGCAACACTAGTATTCTGCTCATCAATTTCCCATTTTGAAGGTTCCGGCACGGGTGCAATGGATTTTTGCTTTTGCTGGCTTTGAGAATTAAGGTCGTCGAATTCAGTTTCATAATCAAGGATATCCAAAACTGAGTCTACTCGCTTAAACTCAGATTCTGTAGTATTTGTATCGGCTTTGGCTTTATCTTGAGAATTTTCTTTCATTGTATTTTTTATGTCGACATCGCTGCAAAGTGTTAATGATGTGCTTGTGTCTACCTTGGTTTCCTCAGTTGAAGCTATGTCACCAGCAGGTGGAATATTTTTGTCTATGGTTAATTCTGGAGTTCTTGATATATACACATCCTTAGTTTCATCATTTTCATTATGTTGCGATCTGTCGCCTGGTTCCTCTGAGTTCTTTTGCCTTTCGCGTTCTCTCCTACTTCTTTTATCTTTTTTAAGTTTTTTCCGTTCAGTTTTATCTTTCCTCCTCTTTTTCCTATCTTTATCTTTAGATTTCTTTGAAGATTTTTCATCCTTGCTCGAATTCGAACGAACATCCTCATCTTTACTTACTATCGGGTGTCTGGGTCTATGTTTTTCTGGACTGGTTCGCCGGTCAAAACTTTCCCATTTCTCGGTCTTTACACGACCAACTGTTACTTCTTTCACAGGAGTATGTTCAGGAGTTTTCAAACGCTTTTCATTACACCGTTTTGGTGCTTCACTAGAATTCGCTTCTACGCGTTTGGGTTTGCTTCGTTCTGCGCTTTTCCGAGAAGTAGGGATATTATTTCGTGATCTTTTATTAGCAGTCTTTTCTAATTTTTCACAGCTGTCTGACCTCTTCTTTGTCACCGGTGTCGGACTTCGAGTTCGCCTAACTTTTTTATCGCTTGTCTTACTAACGTTTTTGGTATCGTTTTTATCCGAACTTCGACGATTTTCAAACTGTCTTTGATCTTTTGTATCACTTGCGATGCGCTCGGTTCGTTTTGTAGGATTTATATAATCTTGTGGCAAAGTATTGTAGTTGTTAATATAGGATGATTGATTTGGCTCATAACCAGGTGGTGGGGGTTCCACAGATTCAAATTGACCCTCCTGAAATCTGTTTTAAGTCTTTTTTTAGTTGCAATTTACTTTTTGAATATTTTTGAATATTAATAATAATACCTATCCTTTCGTGATATTGAATATTTTTCCGAATCAAAGGAGCCTTGATGAGAATGCCACTCCGCGTTGCTCTGACGTAAAGGACGAATTCTTTCCTCACTTGTGGTGCCCCTGTAATTTTCCGATTAAAATATCGATAATTCCATAATTCTTCGAGATTAAAGATATATGTATTAACCTTAGCGTTGACGATTCCTCAAGTAAATCACCTTCCCTTATGTTATGAATTTTTCCTGTGTCTCGTTGTCTGTAAATTTAGAGATAGATTCTTGTGCTCATCAATTAAACAAAATAATATGTGATTGCGAATGATAAAAGGGACCTTCGTTTCGAAAATAAGTTTTCTAGAAAAACGGATTTGAAGTCAACTAGTGAATTTCATTCGTACGTTGTTTGTCAGATGTGTCCATCTTTGAAGTAAATTTGTAAAAAAAGCTAATACAGCTCCAAGAGCGTAGCATCTGCTAGTATAAGAATCGCTAAAAGAAACATCTAATTTGTCTCCCCCTGCTTCCCTTTTACCTTTAACAGTCATATATGTTTCTTTGTCTAGTATGTATTCTTAAAGTTTCAATTGCTTATATCGTCGCTTGGCATGCAAAGATACACCCATTGTAGTGCCACGTATGACATACGTAATGCACTTCGTAGATATGAGTTATTGTGCGCCATGCGTTGATATGTAGCGTTCTTACTTTTCTTGAAATGCGTGTGTGCGACTACGAGACCGCTTATTATATGGTGATCTTGAACGTTTTTTAACTGGCGAATTTGACCAAGACCTCGACCTGCGGCGACAAATAAGTTTATTATAAATTAAAATTTTTTAAAGTAGTTATTACCTCGAACTCTTATCACTAAAAGAATTAGATCGTCTCCGTCTGATCGATTTAGTGCGATCAAAACCGTTATCACGTTTACGATCAGCGTCATACGGTCTAAGCTTCTCCTTGACTTCACGAGGAGGTCTGCGATAGGGGGATACATGCGGCCGACCGCGATTTTGTCTTTCATGAGACCAGGAGCGGCGGCGTTCCAACGACCGCCGACGTTCTTCTCTGCGGCGTTCCTTTTCTTTCATAAGTCGATTAAAAGTTTCCAGGGGATCTTCAATTATTCTAAATATCATAAACAAATATATTGGTGTTTTTCGTCTGTTTTTTTTTTGTTGTTTTTTTATAATTACCCAGTTCCAACTTTGGCTGCTACACCCTGATAAACCGATGCAAGGTTACTGTTTGTATGGTGCATGTCAGCAGGAGGGCATCTAATCGATGGAAAACCAGGTGGAGCATTATGGAACATCGGTCGGACAGAATGTTGATAACTTAAATTTAAATAAAAATAAATTATTCGCAAAAAAAAAAAACAATACGAAAGATATGTATAAATACCCAATATTAGGCCTAGGACCCATTGGATTGTATACACCAAACGGCATCATAGGTTGTCCTTGAACTCCTGGATCTTGGGCTATGCTGTGCGGAACGGGCATCTGCTGATAAGCATTAACTCTATTTGGTGGTCCTGAATATACATCCATCAAATGATTTGGTCGGAGTGGACGTATTTGAATTTTATTCGGACCGTAATGCAATTGCGGATTTATCGGATGGCTATGCTGTTTCTTATAAAACATGTTTCCATTAACGTCATCTTCTGAATAATCTCTTGCACTTTTGTAATCATGATCCCATTCATTACTTTGTGAATCTGATCCAAAATGGGTATCTCTCTTATGAGTATCTGTTGGAGAAATCTAAAAACAAATGTGCGTTAAGGATTACACTGCTCTACAGCCAAAAGAGAAAGGGATGGCATTAATAATTCTATGATGCATTTAGGTCACTGATTCGGGAATAGAAATCTTTTTTTTTTTTAAGTCGACTAATCATTTTGTTTTAGACTGAGCCCTTTCCATAATTTCATTATCAAATAACACTTAATTAACATCTGAAAGTCTGCATTTAATACCGAAATAATTGCTAAACCCATAAGCTTTTTTCTAACTGTGAAAAATCATGTGCGAAGTGCGGAACGAAAGCTCATCCAAAGACAAAAACTAAATCAGAAATTTGTCAAGAAAACCTCAGAAAGCGCATAAACATTTACTGTACTTTTGCAGACACGCTTTAACGACGCCCAATTCATAGACCGTAACAGGCGTCAGCTTTTTACAACAACTTCCGATCGTTAGAGTTGAATTTCGTGTAGAGTTGAATTTCGTGTTTACAAAACAGAAAATGTCGACATAAATATCTGCATTTTGTTAATGCTTGTTATAATTTTTGTTTGTATAAAATGGAAGCTAACAGCAAAGTATTTATTTGGACACATACTATCAATTGCTATAATTAAGTTTTAGCCAAATAACAGTGGTATTTATTAATCATAACGAAAATGGAAGTGAGAACATTTTACAAATAAATAACACAGGTCTGCAAAAAAATGGGTTCGGAATGTTCTATAAAAGTGTAGTGTCATTTCCGAAGTAATTTTTTGCGTAGAATCCGAATCCGGGGTTTAAATTGCTCTATCACGTCAGGACTTTGAGATATCCTAACCTAAAAGTGCAAAAAACGCTGTTTTTGCCAATTTTTGAGGTTATGTAGCTACGAAGATTTTGCTCTTCATAAAAAAGTAGACGTGGTATTTTAAAGTATAAATGCCGTTGAGTTTGCTCAAATATCTTAATTTTTCACTGAGATATCGCATTTTGAAGTCTCCATGTTTGTGAATGTAATCGACCGTATCACGTCTCATGTTATCTCAATGGATTTTCGAATATCGAAAAATTCACAAACATGGAAACTTCAAAATGCGATATCTCAGTGAAAAATAAAGATATTTACTTTTTTATGAAGAGCAAAATCTGCGTAGCTACATAACCTCAAAAATGGGCAAAAACAGCGTTTTTGCACTTTTAGGTTAGGATATCTCAAAATCCTGACGTGATAGAGCAATTTAAACCCCGGATTCGGATTCTACGCAAAAAATTACTTCGAAAATGACCCTACACTTTCCTAGAACAAAACGTTGTTGACCTGTGTAATTAATTATTTGAAGATATTATTTATTTAAACCGTGAATAAATTTTTTAAATTGTTTGGCGCATTTTCTTGACATGAAATGTGTTTTTTTTTGTGTATCCGGTATTTGTTGATCCGATCGAAATTGTACCATGGTAGACGGCAATATTGCGGATTAACCCCAAACGGGAAATCTTCGTCGATTTAACGAACACTTTTGCTCTTTTTCCATTGCGCTCTCCAGTGGATGAAGAGGAAATTGATATAAAATATACAAAAAACCTTCAAAAAATAAGAAGCCTCGGTGTTTTCTTTGATGTTAAGGTTTATTATTATAAAAAGTAGTGTGGCAAACTTGTATGTTACATTTTTCACACAAAAAGTCTAAAATAAAAGCACTTCGTCGAGTCGACGAATAAATATGTAATATAACGTTACTGCTTAAGCGTTAAACATCACATGGCCTACAAAATTTTTTTCTCCTCAATTACGTACTATTAACCGACTTCAAACAAAGGAGGAGGGTATCAATCCGTCGGAATATTTTTCTTTTTTTATGTATGTTACCGCATAACTTTGGACCACGTGAACCGATTTCTCAATTCTCAATGGTGGTCCCATACTAATTTGGTTTATTTAGATCCGATGATTGGACCATGAACAAATTAGCGGCACTTCAAAAATGTTTATATGAGAACTGAAGTCGGTTTTGTTTTTGGCTTAAAAATTACTTGTTTGTATTTATTTATTCTTTTAATTTAATTATGTACAATTGTTATGGACTTTTTTGAACTAAAATACATACAGAAACATAGCATGTATGTATGTATGTATAAATAAAACAAAGTTAAATAATAATATAAAATATAAAAAATTTAATTTTTGAAAATACACATCCCACACTGGAGATCGAACATCGCTCTGCGGAGTTGTAATACGCAGCTATGACCACTCGACTACCGCGATGGCTAAACTCACTTGCTTTGTTTGCGTACTTGCTTGATTCGTTTATTTTCATTCACAATAGACAATAGCTGGCCGTTTCGGTCAGTGCTGTCAAATAAAATGACCCTGGTCCGATTAATGTTCGTTAATCTAATACTAATAAATAAAGTCCACATTAGGAAATGCCGATGCCACATTGGGCACTGATGTACTTTTACTTTTTTCATCACACAGAGGAAGTGGAAATAGTCTTTATTCACCATTAACATTAATAACATTTATGTCCCACCGATCTGAACTCGATAGATCTAAATCAAAGAAAACATTGTCACTTCGTACAGGCCAACGCATTGTAGCTTCATTTCTATGCGACAAAAACCAGAAATAATTTTCTTTGAGCTTAACTGTTAAATCACAATGAACTTTTGTACACATGTTACTTTTAATTCCAGATAAGTCTAAAAAACAAAAGTTTGCCTATTAGTACGGACGAAGTTCTCACTAATCTCTTCGGGTAAATAATTGCATGTAAGCTTTAATAAATTCTAAGCTGTTTTATCGAAAAAAAACTGACCACTTTATAAAACCTTTTAAAAATAACACTAATTTTATCAGAAAACTTCAAACCGAAGTAAATATCCTCGCCATGAGACGATGCAATTTTTAAACGCGAAATTTTTATATTTTCCTAAAACTCGGAATTTTTAATTATCACGAGTAATAACAGTGAAAAAAAAATTGTTCGTTTTACTTTGGAACTGTGGTGCCCAGAGCTTTGGTTATGTGATTATATTTTTAATCAGTATCCAGTTGAAAGATTATAATTAGAGCTATAACGGGATAACGTAATCAAGAGGAAGGTGGAAATATCTACATAATTTTTTTTGCAATATGGAATCGAAAAATACTCCAACATTTTATATTTGTTTAATAATAATAGTGACAGTTGATTCACGTTAAGTTTTATTATAGAAATCTTACCTTCCTGTAAGAACAACCATGGCGACCTAGTGACTGATGTCCGAACGTACTTAAATTATGGAGGGAACAGTTTTCTAGCCTACTGAATGACAGCCGCAGTGAAAGTAGTGGAGAAGACGAGCCTGAGCCCCCAGTCGATAACGATGGAGTGGATGCCCCACCGCCTGACTATGACAACAAAATTGGTGGAGCTGACGGCCAGCCAGCTGAGCTATTCAAGTACGGCGCCGAGAGTTCATAAAGTGCATGCATCAACTATTATGCAAAATATGGTAAAATGAACGTATGCCCGACGACTGGAATTTAAGTGTGCACTGGCCCAAACCGCATATACAGTTAGATCGGTCTTCTACGCATGTGTTACAAGGTGCTATCGAGCGCATTATGTGAAATTCAGTATTTTTAGACTGAAGCCCACAGTCAACGAACGGATTGGGCCGTATCAGTGTGGCTTTAGACCTGGCAAGTCCACCATGGACCACGTATTCAACATAACGACCTCTTCGAGCCAATTGATACCATAGGAGCTTTCAGACAAGGTCACTCCCTTTCGTGTGCTTTCTAATCTAATGTTTGAGAAGATAATAAGAGCCGCAGAACTCAACCGCTTAAGCACAATTTTTCACAAGAGCGTACAATTGCTGGCGTATGCCGACGACATCGAGATCGTCGCTAAAAACAGAGGCTATGTCGATTCTGCCTTCTCGGAATTAGATACAGAAGCAAAACGCGGGGGTCTGGTGGTGAATTCGTATATTTACCAACCAGCATTAAAACCATAATAAATAATCAAGAATACAGTTTAAGAAGAAGATAGGAAAGTAAAGGGTTAACACACCAAAACTGCGACACTTTGGGAAGCTTATAACTTACCCAAAACGATTTCAATATTTTGAAATTCAAATACCATAAGTTGACAATGAACTTAGTAGGACGAAATTTCATTTGAACTTGATTCCTAGTTGAGCTAAAAATTGCAACCGAGTTAGAAACGAGTGCAATGGGGTATAGTCGTTGCGCTGGGTATGCAGTTACAGTTGCATGGCTATACTCAATCCCGACTCTTTCGTCCTCGTTCGCGCACTCTGGGCAACGTGAGCAACCCATGTGCGAGATGCGGTAACCAATCCGAGTGGAGCCTTGGGTCACGGCAAAAAGAGAGGGAGCTTCGGTGGGGCCACTCCGACTTATTCGGTTTAAGGGCTCACTGAAGTCTGCAGCGTATGTTCAGCAGTAGGTGCGACTGCAAGCGGGTGTCTGCTTGGAGCAAGCGGTTCGCTATATAAACGTGTATATGGTTGCGAAACCACTCCCATCCCACTTCCAGTGAAGAAGCAAGGCAAAGCCTCAGATGAGACCCCCCTTATGATGACGACCACGGCAAACGTTTAAAGGACTACGATTTGAGGGCATGCACCTGGAATGTCCGGGCCCTTAATGGGGAAGGTGCCTCTGCCCGGCTGGTTGATGTCCTCGTAAGGACGCGTTGGACGGCGCAAGGCAAGCAATGTCTGGGCCCTTGCGACGTCTACTACAGCTGCCATGTAAAGGAGCGCAAATTCGGAGTTGGATTTGTGGTGGGAGAGAGACTCCGTCGCCGAGTACTGTCGTTCACCCCGGTGGACGAGCGTCTAGCCACAATCCGCATCAAAGCGATATTCTTCAACATCTCGCTCATCTGCGCCCATGCCCCGACGGAAGAGAAGGATGAGGCATCCGAGGACCTCTTCTATGAGCGCTTGGAGCGCACGTACGAGCGCTGCCCTCGCCATAATATCAAAATCGTGCTTGGCGACTTCAATGC